GAGTCCCTTATACCCGTTCTTGAAAACATCCATGGATCCTGCCTCTACCACTTCACTCTCTAAGTCAGTTCATTTACTGACTACTCTAAGGCTAAAGAGGTGTTTCTTAACATCCCTGTGACTCATCTGTACTTTTAGCTTCCAACTGTGACTTCGTGTATCTGACACCCGCCTCTCAAACAGACCACTCCTATCCACCCTGCCAATTCCTCTCAGTATATTGTACGTCGTAATCTTGTGACCTCTGGTCCTTCTGTCCTCTGTCGTCAGGTTTAGCTCTTCTAGCCTCTCCTTATAGGTCATACCCCTCAGCTCTGGGACTAGCTTCGATGCAAACCTTTACATTTTTTCAACTTTCTTGCGTACTTTAACAGGTTTGGGTTCCGTAATGGCGCTGCATACTCAAAGATGTGCCTGATATATGCTGTGTGAAGGGTCGGCAGCGCCTCCTTGTTGATATTTCTGAGAGAAAAGCTTACGTTTCCCAGTTTTGCGTTTTGTTGCAGGACTTATTCGGATGGCGTGTGCTTCAGGCGATATGCTCGGAACTATGCCAACCCCCGAGATCCTTCTCTTTCAGGGAGGATTGCAGCCTATGTCCTTCGAACCTGTACACTGTTTGCAGTCATCATTACCCTTCCCCGATTTTCACATTTTCTGGAGTTAAATTCCAGTAGCCACTTGTCAGGTCAATTCTGCAGCTTGTTCAGATCCATTTGTAGTCTTCCCTGGTCTGCTCCTGTTAGTATTCTCCTCAGTTTCACATTATCTGTGAACAGGGACGCCTCTGAATCAGTTTCCTGTTATGTCGTTTAAATACACAAGAAACATCGCTGGTCTAGTACTGACCTTTGTGGAACTCTATAGCTTCTGATGTATATGCTATGCCATACATACTTTGTATAGTATGCTGTGTCGTTCATTCTTTGTTGTGTTTACTATGCTTGTTGTATATGATATGCAATATTCATCTATATGCTCACTTATATGTGGTTTCGGGGGTCGAGTCTCAGCTCCTGACCCCGCCTTGTCGCTGGTCGCTTTAGTTCACTCTCTCCTGGTTTCGAGAGCCTTATCGTACCTCTGTTTAAAGCTATATATGGATCCTTGCCTCTACCACTCCACTCTCCAGGTCGATTCACTTCCTGACTACTCTAAGAATGAAGAAATACTTCCTAACATCCCTGTGGCTCATGTGTGTTTTCAAGTTTACAGCTGTGCTCCAGTGTGCATATTTGCCGCTTCTTAAGCAATCTGTCCCTGTCCACCCTATCAATTCCTCTAAGTATTTTGTACGTTGTTATTATATTACTTAGTCTTTCCCTCTAGTGTAATCAGGTTGAGTTCCCTTAACCTCTACTCATGGAACATACCTTTTAGCTCCCGGACTAGTCCCTTTGCAAACCTCTTCACTTTCTCCACCGTCTTGATGTGTTCGACAGGGTGTGGGTTCCATACTGGTGCTGCATATTGGTGGACAAGTACTTAAGATTTCCGAAATCCAGTCTCAGAGTTACCCGACGCGCAATTGCTGTAGCAGTTATTTAGTTGATGTGCGTCTCAGTTGTACTGTACGTATGTTCATGTGTGCCTATTGGCTCTTCAACTAATTAATGTTTCTTTAGGTATAAATTCTTAAGTAAATTTTATTTTTTATTTAAAATATAAATCAATAATTCGTTATTCACCTTGTGTATTACATGGTACGCTAGATGCTTCAGTGTGTAATAGCAAGCGACAGAATTTACGTAATTATGGCAATGATATGGAACAAATTACTTTATCAGTAATGACATGCAGCATAATTACGTTATCCATAATGCAATAACACGCAATAAATTACGTTATACTAATGTAATTGGGTACAGCAGTAATGTCTAACACATATAACTGACAGAGCAGGGAACACACACAACACCACACACACACACACACACACCACACACACACACACACACACACACACACACACACACACACACACACACACACACACACACACACACACACACACACACAACACAGCACACACACACAACACACACACGCACGCACGCACACACAGTTTAATAAAACTCCTGATATAAGGATGGGAAGAGAGACAGGAGAAACATGCGGATGGAAGGGAAGGTTGGAGAAGAATAGAGATGAAATGGTGGTGATAAAGACTGCAGGATAAGGGGAGGGGTGGATGGAGGAAGTAATGAGAGAAGCAGAAATGAAGATGGAAGGAGGGAAGTAAGAAGAAAGATGGAAGGAGGTACGTAAGAAGGAAAATGGAAGGAGGGACGTAAAAAGAAAGATGGAAGGAGTGATGTAAGAAGGCAGATGGAAGGAGTGATGTAAGAAGGCAGATGGAAGGAGTGATGTAAGGAGGCAGATGGAAGGAGTGATGTAAGAAGGCAAATGGAAGGAGTGATGTAAGAAGGCAGATGGAAGGAGAGACATAAGAAGGATGATGGAAGGAGGGACGATCAGGGAACGATCATGTGAGCAAAACGCCCCATCACAAGGAGATCAGGTAGCGGACTCACTCAGGCGAGTGGTGGTGCGAGGTGAGTAAGGCGTTGCGCCTCGCCAGTGTCCTAAGCTACTCGCTGGAGGCACCAGCAGGTACGTCAGCTTAAGTGTTCCATCCCCGAGCTGAGCGACGAGTGCAAGCAAGTATCCTTACTCCTGCTGCTGCCCCTCTTCAATCCTGCTGCTGCCCCTCTTCACTCCTGCTGCTGCTCCTCGACACCTAGCAGTAGATACCTGGGTGTTAAACACATAAAGCAGAGTAACGGGAAGGATGAAGATATATAAAACAGAGTAACGGGAAGGATGAAGATATATAAAACAGAGTAACGGGAAGGATGAAGATATATAAAACAGAGTAACGGGAAGGATGAAGATATATAAAACAGAGTTTCGGGAAGGATGAAGACACATAAAACAGAGTAACGGGAAGGATGAAGATATATAAAACAGAGTAACGGGAAGGATGAAGACACATAAAACAGAGTAACGGGAAGGATGAAGACACATAAAACAGAGTAACGGGAAGGATGAAGATATATAAAACAGAGTAACGGGCAGGATAAAGACACATAAATCAACATAACCCTTCAGGAAACACAACTTTCCTAGCGACCTAAATAAAAACACTTCTCCATGACTTTATTGATAATCAGACGATATCTATATTTTCTGAACATGTATCCACATGTTCCCTTCAAAGCTGGCGAAGGACATTTCATCAATGGAACCTACAGTACCCTTCCTCCCCTTAGCTCAAACCTGATTGTCCCCCTGACCTTCCTCCCTTCCAGGCACGACGCTGTAATGCTAATAGCATCTGATAAATACAAACTGTAAGCTCGGTAATTAGTTTTTTACTCTAGTGTGTCTGCAATAAAGTAACCACTTGGGTAGTAAAATTAAATAGAGTGTGAGAGAAGAGCTACAGGTCAGGATATCCCCCCTCCTCCCCTCCGACCACTCGAAAAAAAGGCGCTCCCATGGAAAGTTACGAACCAGGAACGCCGAAAAAGTTTGTACTACACTGTGTGGCGAACCTTAGTTTTTAGAGTGGTGGAAAACTTAGTACTGGTGCACCAGTGGTTGCTGGACCACTGATACCCAACATTGGTATACCAGTGGTTGCTGGACCACTGATACCCAACATTGGTATACCAGTGGTTGCTGGACCACTGATACCCAACATTGGTATACCAGTGGTTGCTGGACCACTGATACCCAACATTGGTATACCAGTGGTTGCTGGACCACTGATACCCAACATTGGTATACCAGTGGTTGCTGGACCACTGATACCCAACATTGGTACACCAGTGGTTGCTGGACCACTGATACCCAACATTGGTACAACAGTGGTTGCTGGACCACTGATACCCAACATTGGTACACCAGTGGTTGCTGGACCACTGATACCAACATTAGTACACCAGTGGTTGCTGGACCACTGATACCAACATTGGTACACCCGTGGTTGCTGGACCACTGATACCCAACATTGGTAACCAGTGGTTGCTGGACCACTGATACCCAACATTGGTACAACCAGTGGTTGCTGGACCACTGATACCCAACATTGGTACACCAGTGGTTGCTGGACCACTGATACCAACATTGGTACACCAGTGGTTGCTGGACCACTGATACCAACATTGGTACACCAGTGGTTGCTGGACCACTGATACCCAACATTGGTATACCAGTGGTTGCTGGAACACTGATACCCAACATTGGTACACCAGTGGTTGCTGGAACACTGATACCCAACATTGGTACACCAGTGGTTGCTGGATCATTGATACCAACATTGGTACAACAGTGGTTGCTGGATCACTGATACCAACATTGTTACACCAGTGGTTGCTGGACCACTGATACCAACATTGGTACACCAGTAGTTGCTGGACCACTGATACCAACATTGGTACACCAGTGGTTTCTGGACCACTGATACCAACATTGGTACACCAGTGGTTGCTGGACCACTGATATCCAACATTGGTACACCAGTGGTTGCTGGACCACTGATACCAACATTGGTACAACAGTGGTTGCTGGACCACTGATACCCAACATTGGTACACCAGTGGTTGCTGGACCACTGATACCCAACATTGGTACAACAGTGGTATCAGACACTGGACCACTGATACCCAACATTGGTACAACAGTGGTTGCTGGACCACTGATACCCAACATTGGTACACCAGTGGTTGCTGGTCCACTGATATCCAACATTGGTACACCAGTGGTTGCTGGACCACTGATACCAACATTGGTACACCAGTGGTTGCTGGACCACTGATACCCAACATTGGTACACCAGTGGTTGCTGGATCACTGATACCAACATTGGTACACCAGTGGTTGCTGGACCACTGACACCCAACATTGGTACACAGTGGTTGCTGGACCATGATACCCAACATTGGTACAACAGTGGTTGCTGGACCACTGATACCACATTACATTGTTGTCAATACATGTCACCAGTGGTTGCTGGACCACTGATACCCAACATTGGTACACCAGTGGTTGCTGGACCACTGATACCCAACATTGGTACACCAGTGGTTGCTGGACCACTGATACCAACATTGGTACACCAGTGGTTGCTGGACCACTGATACCAACATTGGTACACCAGTGGTTGCTGGACCACTGATACCCAACATTGGTACAACAGTGGTTGCTGGACCACTGATACCCAACATTGGTACAACAGTGGTTGCTGGACCACTGATACCCAACATTGGTACACCAGTGGTTGCTGGACCACTGATACCCAACATTGGTACAACAGTGGTTGCTGGACCACTGATACCCAACATTGGTACAACCAGTGGTTGCTGGACCACTGATACCCAACATTGGTACACCAGTGGTTGCTGGACCACTGATACCAACATTGGTACACCAGTGGTTGCTGGACCACTGATACCAACATTGGTACACCAGTGGTTGCTGGACCACTGATACCCAACATTGGTACACCAGTGGTTGCTGGACCACTGATACCCAACATTGGTACACCAGTGGTTGCTGGACCACTGATACCCAACATTGGTACACCAGTGGTTGCTGGACCACTGATACCCAACATTGGTACACCAGTGGTTGCTGGACCACTGATACCAACATTGGTACACCAGTGGTTGGTGAATCAGTGCTGGTGTTCTGACAAAGGACACCACCAACAGCAAGAGTTGGATCAGAAGAGGCAGCCAGCCAGCCAGCCAGCCAGCCAGCTAGCCAGCCAGCCAGCCAGCCAGCCAGCCAGCCAGCCAGCCAGCCAGCCAGCCAGCCAGCCAGCCAGCCAGCCAGCCAGCCAGCCAGCCAGCCAGCCAGCCAGCCAGCCAGCCAGCCAGCCGGCAACAATGGCCACCTTGAGAGAGTGCGTGTACAAGCAAGAAGATTTTCCTTAGACAAAACAATATAAGGTAATACTGGAGATTCAGAGATATATGAAGGCAGTTAGTTCTGTGGAAGCTGGCTCGCCCCCTCTCCATCACAGCCCACACTGCTTTTGTTTTGCACACAGTGCACGCCCCCTCCCTCTTCCCCCTCCCTGCTGAAGCGTGTGGGTTGTGCTGGTAGTGGAGGGGGAGCAATGGTGATGGGAGAAGTGGATGGTGGGGTTAGGATGGTTCACGATGGTGGTTGGTTATAGATGCAGCTATCAAGACCACTGACGTTAACAGAGGAACAAAACGCAACAGAAAGACGCAAGAGCAGCAAAAGGATTATCAGTAGCAGGAATAGTAGCAGTAGCAGCAGCAGAAGACGAGGAAGAGCAGCAGCAACAGGAGCAACAGGGGTAAGCAAGGACCACAACAACGGTGGAAGGAAGCTGGAACACTCTCAAGCTGCCTCGTTACCAGCGTACCTTGTCGTGCTTGGAGAGAATGTAACCTCTTAAACTCAAGCACAGGTAAGACCTTCCTCTGAGAGCCACCACTACCACACCACCTCCAGACTAATATTGATAAATATTTCCCGTCCTCCACAAGGTACCCAGGTGCCTGTCGGAAGGTAGCTTGCCTTCCCTGCTGCAAGGTAGGCTGCCTTTCCTGCTGCAAGGTAGCCTGCCTTCCCTGCTGCAAGGTAGCTTGCCTTCCCTGCTGCAAGGTAGGCTGCCTTTCCTGCTGCAAGGTAGCTTGCCTTCCCTGCTGCAAGGTAGGCTGCCTTTCCTGCTTCAAGTTAGCCTGCCTTCCCTGCTGCAAGGTAGCCTGCCTTCCCTGCTGCAAGGTAGCCTGCCTTCCCTGCTGCAAGGTAGCCTGCCTTCCCTGCTGCAAGGTAGCCTGCCTTCCCTGCTGCAAGGTAGCCTGCCTTCCCTGCTGCAAGGTAGCCTCCCTTCCCTGTTGTCAACTTTGTTTTCTCCTCCTTACCCTTACCCTTCCTATGCTTATTCAGCTCTGTCTGTTTCTCTCTCCCCTTTTCCTCTATCTTCCTCTTCCTTCCTCCTCCTCTTCCTCATCCTTCCCTTCATCATCAGGATGCTGCCTCTATATGGATTATTCTCGCTATAATGGGAAAGATAACGAAATCCAATATCATCACAATTCCCCAAAACTCAGTCTGTCTTTGATGCTGTTATTAGTGATGTTACGAACGAAGTCGTAAGACTCTTATTCGTTATCATGTTATGAATAATAATAATAATAATAATAATAATAATAATAATAATAATAATAATAAATAATAATAATAATAATAATAATAATAATAATTATTATTATTATTATTATTATTATTATTATTATTATTATTATTATTATTATTATTATTATTATTATTATTATTATTATTATTATTATTATATTATTATTATTATTTGAGATACTAATGTATGAGACGTCGGTGTGTCATTGCTTGTGCATTTCAGATATAGATGTATCATCTGTGTATGATACATTAATGTACTAGTGTTTGTGTATGATACATTAATACAACAGTGTTTGTGTATGATACATTGATACAACAGTGTTTGTGTATGATACATTAATACAACAGTGTTTGTGTATGATACATTAATATGTCAGTGTGTGTTTAGGGTACTTTGACGTATCTGTGTGAATATGATACATAGATGTACCAGTATGATACATTGATGTATCAATATAATATACTGACGTATAATTGTATGATACATTGATGTATCATTGTATGATACATTGATGTATCATTGTATGATACATTGATGTATCATTGTATGATACATTGATGTATCATTGTATGATACATTGATGTATCATTGTATGATACATTGATGTATCATTCTATGATACATTGATGTATCAGTGTGAGTGCATGATACATTGATGTATCAGTGTCTCATCAATATGAATCACCATGCAGGTGTCACAGATAGGGTTTAGAGCGCTTAAGTACGAGATACAGCACGTGTTCTTCCGTGCTAACACTGCACGTGATATTCCGTGCTAACACTGCACGTGATATTCCGTGCTAACACTGCATGGATATTTCCGTGCTAACACTGCACGTGATATTCCGTGCTAACACTGCATGTGATATTCCGTGCTAACACTGCACGTGATATTCCGTGCTAACACTGCACGTGATATTCCGTGCTAACACTGCACGTGATATTCCGTGCTAACACTGCACGTGATATTCCGTGCTAACACTGCACGTGATATTCCGTGCTAACGCTGTACGTGATATTCCGTGCTAACACCGCACGTGATATTCCGTGCTAGCACTGCACGTGATATTCCGTGCTAACACTGTACGTGATACTCCGTGCTAACACTGCACGTGATATTCCGTGCTAACACCGCACGTGATATTCCGTGCTAACACCGCACGTGATATTCCGTGCTAACACCGCACGTAATATTCCGTACTAACACTGCACGTGATATTCCGTGCTAACACCGCACGTGATATTCCGTGCTAGCACTGCACGTGATATTCCGTGCTAACACCGCACGTAATATTCCGTGCTAACACTGCACGTGATATTCCGTGCTAACACTGCACGTGATATTCCGTGCTAACACTGCACGTGATATTCCGTGCTAACTTGCCTTCTCTCTCTCCTCCTTCAGGTTGCAGCATCACCAGGAGAGTACCACTTCGTGCAACACGCCCTTCCCCATGCCCGTACCAAGCGTAGTGTACCCCATACTCGCCAGCTCAAGGCCGACCCCCACGTAAGTACAGTGCCGTGTACCACTTCCTATTTGTATATATATATATAATATATATATATATATAAATATATATATAAATATATATATATATATTAATATATATATATATATATAATATATGTATATGTGTGTGTGTGTGTGTGTGTGTGTGTGTGTGTGTATATATATATCCAATGTTACAAGAGTAGCAACAGAAGAATTCTTCTGCAAATAGATTTGTAAACTGTCCCGCCTCACACCCCTCCCCATCCTGCCCCCCTCACCCCTCCCCATCCTGTCCCGCCTCACCCCTCCCCATCCTGCCCCGCCTCACCCTTGTCCAGCCTGTCCCGCCTCACCCCCTCCCCATCCTGCCCCGACTCACAACCGTCCAACCTGTCCCCCCTTACCCCTGTCCAACCTGTCCCGCCTCACCCTTGTCCAGCCTGTCCCGCCTCACCCCTGTCCATCCTGCCCCGCCTCACAACCGTCCAACCTGTCCCCCCTTACCCCTGTCCAACCTGTCCCGCCTCACCCTTGTCCAACCTGTCCCGCCTCACCCCTGTCCATCCTGCCCCGCCTCACACCTCAGCAACCTGCCCCGCCTCACACCTCAGCAACCAGGGTCCAACATGAAGCTGGAACACACTGGTGGTCGTGGAGGTGAGAGCAGCAGTAATGACGTGCTTTACAGGTTTAAAGGTGACTTCCAATACTGGCCTTGGTGTGTGTGTGTGTGTGTGTGTGTGTGTGTGTGTGTGTGTGTGTGTTGGTGTACGTGTGGGGGTGAGAGGTGCCAGAAAAAAAAATTAATGAGGTGACAGAAGCAGAAAGGAGCATCGGGGAATTAGCAATATGGAACGTCAGTACCAGGGAACATTACCTATCTATGTCATGTGGCTGAGATCTAGGGTGGAATTTCTAAGCCTACTAAGCACGCCTACTGCCAGTATCTACATGTGACCGTCTACTTGTGATCGTCTACTTGTGACCGTCTACCTGTGACCATCTACTTGTGACCTTCTACTTGTGACCGTCTACTTGTGACCGTCTACTTGTGACCATCTACTTGTGACCGTCTACTTGTGACCGTCTACTTGTGACCGTCTACCTGTGACCATCTACTTGTGACCGTCTACTTGTGATCGTCTACTTGTCACCGTCTACTTGTCACCTTCTACTTGTGACCGTCTACTTTTGACCGTCTACTTGTGACCGTCTACTAGTGACCGTCTACTTTTGACCGTCTACTTGTGACCGTCTACTTGTGACCGTCTACTTGTGACCGTCTACTTGTGACCGTCTACTTGTGACTGTCTACTTGTGACCGTCTACCTGCGACCGTCTACTTGTGACCGTCTATCTGTGACCATCTACTTGTGACCGTCTACTTGTGACCGTCTACTTGTGACCGTCTACTTTTGACCGTCTACTTGTGACCATCTACTTGTGACCGTCTACTTGTGACCGTCTACTTGTGACCGTCTACTTGTCACCGTCTACTTGTCACCTTCTACTTGTGACCGTCTACCTGTGACCATCTACTTGTGACCGTCTACCTGTGACCATCTACTTGTGACCGTCTACTTGTGATCGTCTACTTGTCACCGTCTACTTGTCACCTTCTACTTGTGACCGTCTACTTGTGACCGTCTACCTGTGACCATCTACTTGTGACCGTCTACCTGTGACCATCTACTTGTGACCGTCTACTTGTGACCGTCTACTTGTGACCGTCTACTTGTGACCGTCTACTTGTGACCGTCTACCTGTGACCATCTACTTGTGACCGTCTACTTGTGACCGTCTACTTGTGACCGTCTACTTGTGACCGTCTACTTGTGACCGTCTACCTGTGACCGTCTACCTGTGACCATCTACTTGTGACCGTCTACTTGTGACCGTCTACCTGTGACCGTCTACCTGTGACCATCTACTTGTGACCGTCTACTTGTGACCGTCTACCTGTGACCGTCTACCTGTGACCATCTACTTGTGGCCATCTACTTGTGACCATCTACTTGTGACCGTCTACTTGTGGCCATCTACTTGTGACCATCTACTTGTGACCATCTACTTGTGACCGTGTACATGTGTGTGTGTACACGTAAACATCTCCATGTAAACACACACGTGTATACATCTCCATGTAAACACACACGTGTATACATCTCCATGTAAACACACACGTGTATACATCTCCATGTAAACACACACGTGTATACATCTCCATGTAAACACACACGTGTATACATCTCCATGTAAACACACGTGTATACATCTCCATGTAAACACACACGGTATACATCTCCATGTAAACACACACGTGTATACATCTCCATGTAAACAACACGTGTAATGCATCTCCATGTAAACACACACGTGTATACATCTCCATGTAAACACACACGTGTATACATCTCCATGTAAACACACACGTGTATACATCTCCATGTAAACACACACGTGTATACATCTCCATGTAAACACACACGTGTATACATCTCCATGTAAACACACACGTGTATACATCTCCATGTAAACACCTACGTGTATACATCTCCATGTAAACACACACGTGTATACAATCTCCATGTAAACACACACGTGTATACATCTCCATGTAAACACACACGTGTATACATCTCCATGTAAACAACACACGTGTATACATCTCCATGTAAACACACACGTGTATACATCTCCATGTAAACACACACGTGTATACATCTCCATGTAAACACACACGTGTATACATCTCCATGTAAACACACACGTGTATACATCTCCATGTAAACACACACGTGTATACATCTCCATGTAAACACACACGTGTATACATCTTCATGTAAACACACACGTGTATACATCTCCATGTAACACTCACGTGTATACATCTCCATGTAAACACACACGTGTATACATCTCCATGTAAACACACACGTGTATACATCTCCATGTAAACACACACGTGTATACATCTCCATGTAAACACACACGTGTATACATCTCCATGTAAACACACACGTGTATACATCTCCATGTAAACACACACGTGTATACATCTCCATGTAAAACACACACGTGTATATATCTCCATGTAAACACACACGTGTATACATCTCCATGTAAACACACACGTGTATACATCTCCATGTAAACACACACGTGTATACATCTCCATGTAAACACACACGTGTATACATCTCCATGTAAACACACACGTGTATATATCTCCATGTAAACACACACGTGTATACATCTCCATGTAAACACACACGTGTATACATCTCCATGAAACACACACGTGTATATATCTCCATGTAAACACACACGTGTAATATATCTCCATGTAAACACACACGTGTATACATCTCCATGTAAACACACACGTGTATACATCTCCATGTAAACACACACGTGTATACATCTCCATGTAAACACACACGTGTATACATCTCCATGTAAACACACACGTGTATACATCTGGGTCTCTCTCTCCTGATTTACTATTGAAAATTCTTTTCGGAAATTTTTGAATTATAGATCCAGGGGATAATGAAGAAAGGATAGTGGAAGAGGAAGGAAGGAGGGACTTAGAAAAGGAGGGGAAGGAAGAAGTAAGAGAAAGATAAAAGGGAAGTAGGTCGGTATGGTAGAAGTGGGGGAATAGAGGTAGGAAGAGAAAGTACCTTTGATGGGTTTTCAGAGTTTTCCTACTATTGTAGCCTAGCCCTGGGCTTTGTCTGGTGCTTGCCTGGTCAACCAGGCTGTTGCTGCTGGCGACCCGCTGGCCCCATATTCGTTACAGCCTGGTTGATCCGGCACATGACGGAATAAATTGTGCGGTTTCCTCTTGAAGACTTCTACACTTGTTCTAGCAGTGTTTCTGATATCTTCTGGCAAAATGTTGAAATATTCTGGAACTGCAAATGTTGATACAATGTTCTTTTATTGTGCCCACGGCTCCCTTGCCTTTCACTGTGTTTGTTCTGCACATTCTTCCAATATGTTGTTATGGCAGTGTGCAGATTTAGGACCAGGCCCTCGAGTGTTTTCCATGCATATATTATCATGTATCTCTCTCTCATCCGCTCCAGAGAGTACATATTTAAGATTTCGAGACGTTCCAAGTAACTTAAATGCTTTAGTGGCTCTGTGCAGGCGGTAAATAATCTTGGAATTTGTTGCAACTCTGTTATCTCTCCTTCCTTGGATGGAGCAGTCAGCGCAGATCAGTACTCCAGGCGAGAGAGCACACGCAATTTGGGACATAGAGAAGAAATGAGGGAAATAATAAAGAGTGGGGTAATCAGAGGATGAGGGAGAGGGAGGAAGGAGAGATAGAGGAATGGATGGAGAGAGGAAAGGAGGGGGAGAGGAAGATGAGAGAGAGAGAGAGAGAGAGAGAGAGAGAGAGAGAGAGAGAGAGAGAGAGAGAGAGAGAGAGAGAGAGAGAGAGAGAGAGAGAGAGAGAGAAGTTCAAAAAATAGATGAGGAACCAAGGAGAGAAAAGCTGAGCAATGACAAGGGACACTCTGTTATGGGAGAGTTTAATAAATGCCTCGTTAATGCTTAATTATAATTTCAAAGGAGGAGACGATGGTTAATTAAGCATTACTTTGCCTTAAAGACAGCAAATGAAAGCTCTTTAGGGAGTTGAATCATTTTGTTCCTGTGGTCGCTGCACACAGCCTTTCCCACAGAGAATGTTTACTTATTCATCAGTTAGAAGACAACACAGGTGTGGTGGAGCACTGTGTGATCTTGAATACCAGTGTTGTTTAAGAGACTCTCCAAAATACATATGTTGTTGAAGATCCTCTCTCCAAAACCTTCAGAACACATGCTCTGTACATGACACCTCCCTCCAAGACCATGAACATCCTCAGATTAGTTACCGTCTTCCTACTTCCTGTCCTCATTCACTGATCCTTCATCCAGCATTCCTACAATCTTGCACTCATACATTCAGAGATTTCTTTACACTTTCCTTGAGAAGTCCCTCATTCTTCATCCCC